AGGAAGGAAGGAAGGAAGGAAGGAAGGAAGGAAGGAAGGAAGGAAGGGAGGGAGGGAGGGAGGAAGGAAGGAAGGGAGGAAGGAAGGAAGATTAAAAATGGAGACATTGGTTGGAAAGAAATAAAAAGAAGAAATGGCAATAGTGTGTTCTGTTGTAGAATTTAATCTGGGGCATTCATTCGGGCCAGAATTTTAATTTTATGAGTTTTGGATGCATGCTGGAGCCCATCCTCAGGGAATTTCTATCTAGCATGAGTATTAAAGCCCAGAAGACTAAACATTTAAAAATGGTTTAGAAAGCACAATTTGTTGGATGCCCACAAAATACACAGTCAAAATAACAAATGAATATTTAACTTCAGAGTGGACAGAGAAAGATAAATGAGTCACTTTGTATTCACTGATTTGGAATGTCACAGTTATACCCATTTTTTCTCATTGTCCCTTAATTTATGGATAAAAATGTCATCTCTGCATTTACATTACATTGATATAGACACAAACACATAAATACAGGCTTATCCATATAAACATGAAGACAGACATTATTTTTTAATTATTCATAGAATGAGTTGCCTCACATTTGTATATTTTTTATTTTAAAATAAAGTTTATTTAAGATTCATACATTTAAAACATTTAAAAAACAAACAAACATATAAACAAGTATATATATACATATATACATTTTGCAGCAAGATTTGAGCAATGGTTACACATTTTTTTTGTCCCCCTAACATTGACGTGATCTGCCTTGTTACAATACCTTCCTCGTTCTTTTAATGGTTTAATTTCACAAAATACTTTATGATTAAATGCACGTCTTCCATAATTTCATAACTTATCCAGTTGTCAAATATTGCCTTTTCTTTAACCATTCATACCAGCAATTCCATGTTTTATAGTAATCACTATCTTGGTTATTTTTTAATAATTTACGGGCTTATCCATATAAACATGAAGACAGACATTATTTTTTTAATTATTCATAGAATGTGTTGCCTCACATTTGTTTAAATTGAATTCTTGCTTTGCAATGTTCAAGTAGGGCAGCTGAATTTCCTTTCTGTAGTCACCTTCCAAAATCCAAAACTCCTTAAAATGAGACTTCAGGATTCATTTCATTTCATTGTAGACGAAAGAAACTGATGGATTTAAATGTGTGTGGAGCACTTCATGTCAAAACTTCTGATTTGTAGGTTGTGATAAGAGTAACTAATTAGTAGTGACCACAAGAGAGGAAGGCAGGCCCAGACCCAAATATGAATAACGTAGAAAAGAATGAGACAGAGGAAATTTGAATGTATTGAAAGAAAAGCAAAGGGACTGAGTATAAGTAAACGTAAGCTGCTTAGAAGTAGAGAAAGTTCTTGACAGGCTACAAATTCACTTCCTCTCACTGTGCCTGTTGCACAGTAATAGACAGCCGTATCCTCTGCTTTCAGATTGTTCATCTGCAGATACAGCTGGCTTTTGGCATCATCCCTGGAGATGGTGAAGCGGCCCTTGACTTTGGCTGAGTAATAAGTGGAAGGATTTGAGCCTGTACCTATGTAGGCTACCCATTCCAGTCCTTTCCCTGGAGCCTGTCTCACCCAGTTCATCCAGTAGCTACTGAAGGTGAAACCAGAGGCTTGGCAGGAGAGACGGAGGGACTCCCCAGGTCTTCTCACATCCCCTCCAGACTCCACCAACTGGACTTGAGACTTGACACCTTAAAAGAAAGGTATATCAGTTAGCTCTCCTGTGTACAAGAATTAAAATGGAAAGAAGATGATTAGGGAGGAAACAATTACCATGGACGACTGCAAGTAAGGACAACAATTTTAGCCACAGTGGCATTTTTGCTCTGTGCAATGAATGGTGGGGAGTTGATGAGGAAGGATTTGGGAAAGTGCACAAACTTTGTCTTGGTGGGTGTAGCCTGTAAAGGAAAACTGACTGGCTCTTTAAAGGGGGAAACTGTGACTTGATTTACATATTGATTGTGATAAAAGAACTCACCACTGCATTCCTTGCACACTCCGTACAGTATAATTTCCTTGCACACTCCGTACAGTTTTGATTTAACTTTATATCTTTTCAGTTTTTAGAAAAGTGAAAGCAATCTTTAAGTACAGTAATAAAAACAAAGACTAGCACAAAATGATTCAGGCAACAAGTGATGAACAAGCGCTAAGAACATTTGAAAGAGGCATCTTAAAAAACATGGAAACAGCAACGCATCTAAGTTCAGGAAAGTTTTTATCCATTTTTCCCTTTAATATGACTTTTTGAAGAAATCTCAAAAGAACTGAAAGCATTTTTTGTTCTAAATGCTATTTTGTGTGGGTTTTTTATCAGTTGTTACTTCTCCACAGTTGATTCACCAAGAAGGGCAATCATAAATATATATATAAGGAATGAAGGAGAGAGGGAAGGAAAGTTTAAACTTCATAACAAGACTGAAAAGAAACAGAAAAAAGGATCTTGGCATTTCTTCTGCTAAATATATAAGTACATTTATAATATTAATTCTGCTTACAAAAAGAGCTCATGTTTTTCTATTATCTATTTTTAACCAATCATCAAATACACAAATTGTGATTGTGTGCTTTTTCTCTTTCATGAAAAGTTTACAAATAATTTTCTGACCAAAATTTTTAGATAAGCCTTCTCTGTAGATTTCATCATTTTCACCACCCATTGCTCCATTGTGCGTGGCATTGAGGTTTTTTCCATTTTGAAGAATATAGTATTCTCTCAGCAGTTATCATATATAAAAGCAAAATTTTATGGGTTCTTTTTTCTAGTTGCTTCTCTATTAGTCCAAAGATAAAAGTTTCTGCTTTCAATTGTAGATTTACCCCCAAAGTCTTCTGGATTAGTGTACACATCTGATGTCCATTTAAAAATAACCCTTTTTTACATGTTCACCCCAGAAAACTGACACAATATCCCTTTATTATATTTTATTTTGTTATTATTAATATTTTTTCATTTCATCAAAGATTTTAACTACTTGGACAATTTTTTCTGATGAGAAAACCAGAAATGAGATGTGCATCCTTTTTATTTAATGATTTTTTTCTAATTCACAGGAAGGATTGTAGCCTCCTGAGAGCCTCCTTTTCTTGAGAGATTTTCAGGGAACAAATACAGAAATAACAACTATCACACATCAAAAATTGGACATCTATTTAGAACTGATTTATTCCATCCTGCACCCTCACCCATAAGCCATGAAGTTTCGTGTGTCAACATTGCCCCCTGGTGTCCAAAGTGAGGAGAGGACACATCTTTCTAATCCTCTGAGGAGATTCTTTAGGTTCAGATTTTTCCTCAATATGTGAATGGCAGTTTGTATAATTAGACCGATTATTCTGAAGTTTCATTTTCAGATTTCTGCCATGATTAGTTAAAGGAGAAAATTCCATTCAGTTACTTTTCTCAGAAGTCAGATCACTTTGCAAACAGGGAAGGTAAAACTGGAATTGTAAAGCCATTTTCCTCAAAGTTCATTGTCTTTCAGGAAACTTTCTTGCAGGATACCCAAGACAAAAGAATTGTAAAAATATCATGCCATACTGGTGAATCCTGATTAGTGAGTCCAGAATCTGGGGCTGAATCAAGTTGAAGAGCTGTTCCGCAGATTTTTGTTTAGCTTCAGATTCACATCCTCTCACTGTGTTTCTTGCACCGTAATAGAGGTGGGGAAGCATCCTTCTCTTTATCTCAGTAGTAAATGCTAATTGAACTTGAAACTATTTATTTATTTATTTATTTATTTATTTATTTATTTATTTATTTAT